TCTCACTTCCACTGGGTGAATAAAATCTTCAAAGCCAATTTGGTACCGGCACGAAGTCACGTCACGTCGGTGCGAGGTGTGAAAAATAACTGAGGAGCGGAGAGCAGGAGAGCCCGACACACGACCCGCCTAGTCGGGGTCCCGTGTATGAAGTATAGCAGCGGAATACGCCAGCGCTATTGGTGGAACTGTCAGCCAATAGGCATCGACGGCGTTCAGGTATGATGTCGGCGCACTAACAAGGAATTTAAATTGATATTATGTTTATATTGCCTCCAAACATCCTTTGTGATGACACCGCTTTTTATTTAACGTATGTAAATTACAATGATAAAGAAAATGCGATTTGAATTATGCACCAATTCAAAGATGAATGTATTTCATTATGATTGTGCAGCGTTACAAATAATATCATATCCATATACATCGTGTTATGAATGTGTGTACAATTAAGTGTTGATTGCAAGTATAAGATTATTTTATTAGTAGGTATTTAGAAACGGTCTTATTATTATTTAATTCTTTAGTATTTGCTGTGGAAAGTTTGGAGAAAAAAGGTTCTATAAAAATGTTGTTCACGATTTATTTTTTACTTGAGTTTGATCACTTCAATGCTTCAGAAGGTGACTGAACTGTTACAGTTGCATTGTGTAAATAAAAGAATTGTATAAACTCGAATGCAACGTTGAATGAAAAAACAAATTCTATTATAACATTTTTTTAGTCTTCCTAAAGAAATTAGAACCCGGAAGAGTATAGACGTAGATTCATAATATACCATTCAAATCGTATTGGTTGAAGTGCAGATTGCGTTTCAAAAGCTTGTTATAACATAGGTAAATCTGAGTAAGAACGGTGTTAAGGTAGCTTGTTCCAAGGCACCGTTTTTAGTATTGATCGTTTCTACTCGTAGGTAAGTATGATTTCTTTGTATAAAATACCTACTACATATTATAACATTTTTATATAAAGTAATCGATTTTTGCATTATTTGAAAACATACAATTATTGACCTTATTTGCTTAAGAAAATAAAGCTTAATGAATAAATGAAAAAAGAGATGCCAGAATTTAAAACTTTTACCAATTTCGAACGCGACATATTATATTTCTTAGTTAAATTATTTTCAACTACGACTCGATATTTTACATGCTTTAAAATCATTATGCGAACAGTACTTAAACGAGACCCTTTTTAATGTTTTATATATTTTCAATCAGCACTTAATCTCATTTCTATATACCTACTTAAACAATAGTGAATCAATGGACTTAATGATTAAATAAAATTAAACATTATTGTTTTTGGCACGTAGCAATTAAAATAACTTAAACACCGTTACGTAAGATCTTCATAGGTTGCAATTTAAAAATATATTAGAGAATAGGCGTCTGATATAACCAGAGACAAAATACTTCTTTTATAGCCACAGATTAAAAACATAATCAAAACGCGGGCCATAAACACGTAGGTATTACTAATTTCATCCAAAACGTTAAACCAAAAAAGATAAGTATTATAATTGGAAATAAAATTATATCGATACAAATATCTCGGTCGTTTTTCTTCGTTCCACTTTTAAAGGTCACATACTACCCTCAACGTCGAACGAATATCGTATCTATGGTGTTGAATTTTAAGTATATTTTAGTTATTCTCGTTGATTGTTAAGCTGTTTCGCTGTTAGCATATGTTAGGATGCTGGCATAGCACGAGTGCTGCGAATTCGTCACGGATGCTTATCGGCGGCACTCGATAAAGGCGGCTTGTTAGTGTTGCCATGGCAACGCTATTTGGGCTAAAACTAACCAAAATATTCCAAATTTAGTTACCATTCAACACTCTTTGCTACATATTTCATAGAAAAAAATATATTATAGAGATATTTAGAGCAAATTACCGAATAAATGTCTCTAAATATTTCGAGACACTAATTTTAAATTAACAATGCTGTGTACATCAGTAATTGGGTCCTACTACTTATAATGAATTACATGTAAGTGATCTGTTGATGTACCATAATAAATAAATAAATAAGTAAAAACTATAGACAGTATTTAAGTAAAAAGTATTATTACAAGATTGTACAAGAACATTTTTTTTTAAATTTTTGAGTTCTTTTAAAGAACTATGATGGCAACACTGCGGCCCATCCACGTTTTATTATTAGAGGGAAGCAGTGGGTAATCACCGGAGCTTTCCACAAGATCTCTGGGATTCATTACACTAGATGTTTATCTTTGTACATTATGAGAACGCGGTAATTGAAAATTTCAATGCGCTTATTGTGTGTTGGTGTAAATTATGAAACGGTTTGAAAGGACGTAGTTAGTCAATTACTTACCACGATGTAATTATAGTCGTTAATCGATTTTTAGAAGCTTATATTCTAATCTATATGACACTGCGCATGTGTATGACGGGCTAGTTTATGTACTTACATGTATTTCATAAATAATAGTTTTTTTATTGTTAGAAACCTAACAGTCTAATCGAAAGTAGTAATATAAGTTCATCAGAGTAAAACGGAACTTTATTTTCTTTGTCTATGATAGAGGAGAACAAACAAACATGGAGTTCTCTTAAATACTCCCCGTGTCTCGCCGTGACCAGGCTGCTGCAAAGCATCCAAAACGTCGGGCCGAAGTTAAAAATCATTTCCAAATAAGTTTAACTAATATATCGCGTTTTAAACCGTTAATTTTTTTATTTAAATGGAGTTCTCTTGATAATAGTTGAAACAGCTAAAGCATATAACATCTAAAAAAAAACGCTCTCGACCTGTTTTTGCCTACATTCGGACTACGACGGATTTCGATAATCCTACCACCCATTTAACTTCCAGACGAAGTCCAACCCGGTGGTTGGACCCGGTGGTTATAGAACCGATGAGCCATCTATTGCTACCATTACACCCGTCAGCAAACTTTTTCCACATAATGGATTCATTCGGTATGTCACTTTTTCATGCCGCTTCAGTTTCGAGTAATCACTATGTACAACACGAAACACCGTACTTTCCGCATGACAATCGGCCAACTTGGGAAAAAGGAAACTCTTGTAAAGCGATCGTAAAGTCATCGAAGTCACGACGCAAATGACAGCACTCCACCATTACTTGCGCTGAGACTCCGCAATTAATTCTAAACAGCGTCTCGAACTTAAAAAAGCTCTCAGCGCGCGTCCGTCGTTACTTGCATATTTTTTTGTGGGTGAAAAAAATTTTTTCGCGCGCCCCCGCGACTCGGCCAGAGGGTGATTTATGGACGTCATAAGCGGCGTTTTAATATCAACGAGCCTTTAAGCCTGCGCGCTTTGTAGATGCCGCGACGCAGATAACCTAATTAACAGGGCTTTTAATATCGAATATGTTTTGTGGGGCAAAGCAAATAGTTTTGAAATCTTAGTTACGTTGAGATCCAATTTCACCTGACGGTTTTTTGACATTAGAGTCGATTAATTTATCGATTCGAACGTTTACTACTTCTTGATTCGTATTGTTCGTAGTTTACGCGAGCTAGTGTACATTTGAATAAAACACTTTTAACGGGTAAAATGCGTAATATATTAGTTAGCTTATTTACAATTTATTAGTGACTACTGCTGCGAAATTATTGCGTAAATAACTAATGCGTAATAATGTTTTAAAATGTTTTATTTAAATTCTTTTTACATCAATTTATTCTCTTATCTGCAACCACTCATTCTGTTAGTAATGAGATTTACTAAAAACACGAAGACAAACAAGTATCGGGTTTTCTTGATGAGAGCTTTTAGCAAATGCCACCTTAAGATATCCACAATCTAAAACATAACCGCGTTAAAACCATCAAGCCATTTATCTAAGTATATCTGGCACTTCTGACTAACATTTAACATGTAGATTTGTCAGACAAAGTTAGACATTTTGCAAAAAATATTCTAAATACAACACTTTAACCGTTTAAAACGGGATATATTAGTTAGACTTATTTGAAAATGATTTTTAACCTCGGCCCGACGTTTCGAATGCTTTGCAGCAGGCGTGGTCTCAGGGAGATATTAATATATCGCGTTTTAAACCGTTCGAGTGTTTTATTTAAATGTGTAAGTACTACTTGCTTAAACTACAGACAGTATTTGAAATAATCATCAATCAGTTTTAGAAACACTGGGTCTGTTGGGCGTCAAACCCAGGAGCCGTATAGCTAGCCCAAGCTGGTCAAAATTAGGTAAAATTAATTCGAAATTCGAATTTGATGAGCTCACCTCTACCTCACAACAAGTTATTTTTACCTTACATACAAACATGAATAAAAAAGAACTAAGTAGTTAACTAAGTATTTTCCAAATGAAACGAAACGCTAATTCAACTGTATTAACATTAAAAAATAAACAAAGCTCTAGCCATGATTTGCAAACAGGCTCGCGTGCGACGGTACTGTTAGTTTAGCTTTAGGCAACGACTGAACAAACGGAGTCACGTCAAGTCGTACCAATCACTGCGCTCTGTGGACCTGGCTAATCGATTTTATCGCAAAATTCCCTAACAATGCTCCTTTAAACAGCTGCCTGTAAACATGAAGCTAAGGTTTCCGAAATTACGAGAATGAGAAATTTACTTTAGCTTTTATATTGGCTTATTGTAATATTGTTTGTACCCTATTGTTTATGTTTCGATTTCCGAGATTATTCAAAAATATAGGTATATATATACCAATGTCTGTCTGTAATCCGTTATAATTAGGTACTTTCACTTATTAAACCTCTTATCAGTAATAGTTACTAAAATAAACGCATTACCTTTGTATTCTATAAGTGGCGATTGTTCCAGAAATGTACATATACATATTACTTTAATTAGTTATACTTACATTAAAATTGGTAACTTTGCTGAACAAGTAAATAAGATATAGTTGCAGCGTTGTAGCACATCAAAATACAGTAAAACTGTTCCAAGATACCTCCTCAACATAGATACCTACTTTATATGTTTCGTATAGTAGGGATATTAACGATGA